TTGATTGTCAAGAAAGATAGAGTATAAAAAGCTCATTGAAATTTCCACACGACCCATAGATAGTTTGAAACTAAATCTTAAACCTCACGGTCTTACATAAAGGTTTCAATGTTCTTCTTTTAGGAACAATATGCCACTAAACAAAAAGAAATGGAGAGTTGTTAATTCAAGTCAACTATATACTAACAACTCAGCTAAGAGAGGACCATCCAAACTTTAGAGCAAACGACAAAATTAGGGTTACCTCCAATATACTAATAGACTCGATCAAAGTAATAAGGCACAAAATTAGACACTCCTTATTTATCAGTTCCAGTAGGTTGAATAAAGAATCGATCTACTTCAGTAAACCGATCAATGATTCTTCGTTATAAGATAGAAATAGGTTGTGATAGCTACAAAACCATAAATCTAAGTATCCAATAGCCACCACTCTCCTTGTACAACCAAATTTTATCTCAAGAAGCAAATGTTTGAACAAAAAATTCAATTTCTAATCCTCCTTCGACTACTTCATTTTATTCGCCATGGATTGATATCGGCGTTGAAATCTTCTACTTGCCGAGGTTAAATTCCTAACAATAAAACCGCAGTGCCAAGAGATACCAGAAGATTGATTTTTCAAAGGCGGCCTTGTACTGGAAAGTGAAAGGGGGCACAAACTATTGCATGATTGATGGAATTTCAGAGAAAGTTAGAAAGCGATAAGAACAAAAATAAAAAAAACACAAAATATAAATTCAAATTGAAAAATGCAAGGACACTACACATAGTAACATAATTAGTTTATTCCATGTTAGCCGATTGTCAATTTAGCTATAGTGAAAATTAAGGAGAGAACATGAATTTTAAAATTAAGAAAATTACATGAACCCAACTATGAAAATTGAAGTATCAAGCACCATAAAAAATACACACGATAGACTCAGTGGGCTTGCTAATCATGATGGAAAAGTCCTCCAATTTATAGAGTTTAACTTCGTGTATCTTTTGTATTAAAATGATACAACAAATTTATTTAGTGTAATTAGTTGTGATTGGTGTCTTTGTTTGAAGAGACCAGAGTTCAAATCCTATTATTGATATTTTTATATGAGGTAAATAATGAATTGTAAAGACAAAAATATCTTTCCTACTCACTCTCGTTACAGGAAATTTGAAATAGAGAAAAATACACAAAACTCTACCATATATTATTGGAGGATGAATTAATAGGAAATTAATTTTTATTTTTATTTTTTAATGCGTGTAAAAATGAGTTGGAAACTAGAAAAGTTAAAATTATCTTATTAATTTTTGAATTGTCACGTCCCTTATTTAACGGTCAACTATTAGTGTTGACCGCCACATAGGATAAAGATAACGGAGACTAAATGAGAGTGATCAAAGTTGAACTAATCTCAGTATCCATGAGTGGAATAAAATAATTTTAGTGGCAAACGTGATTTTTTTAGTAAAAAAAGAGGGAAAAGCACAATCTAACTGTAACATCCCGAACCTTTTCCCGACGAAGATATTGTTGCTTTGGGCCTCAACCCTCATGTTTTCGACTTGGGGTGCAATTCAAGGTGACTTCCCATGAGGTCACCCATTCTTGTTGTACAACACACTAAGCATGTTTAACTTCGGAGTTCTTATAAGAACTCCTCTGTTTCACCCCAATACGCGTGTTGTCAATTAAGGTTGGTTTCTTACTTATGAACCATGGATCTCTCCCGTGCTTTGTCGATGTGGGATTTGCCTAAAGTGTTACATACACCCCCCCCCCCCCCCCCGGGGACCCAACGCCCTCGTTGAGGTTTGCCCCACCTTCGTTCAAGAGGGACACAGAGAGGCTCTGATACCACTTGTAACATCCCGAACCTTTTCTCGACGAAGATATTGTCCGCTTTGGGCCTCGACCCTCACGGTTTTCGACTTGGGGTGCAATTCAAGGTGACTTTCCATAAGGTCACCTATCCTTGTTGTACTCCACACTGAGCACGTTTAACTTCGGAGTTCTCACAAGAACTCCTCCGTTTCACCCCAAAACGCGTCTTGTCAGTTAAGGTCGGTTTCTTACTTATGAACCATGGATCTCTCACGTGGTTATGTAACACCTTAGGCAAATCCCACATCGACAAAGCACGGGAGAGATCCATAGTTCATAAGTAAGAAATCGACCTTAACTGATAAGACGCGTTTTGGGGTGAAATAGAGGAGTTCTTGTGAGAACTCCGAAGTTAAACGTGCTCAATGTGGAGTACAACAAGGATTGGTGACCTTATGAGAAGTCATCCTGAATTGCATCCCAAGTCGAAATCCGATCTTGCTCGGGAAAAGGTTCGAGATGTTACACTAACTGTCTTTCCTCTCTATGGCAAAAAAATGTCCTCTCTCTCAACTAATCCATGGAAAAAGAGGAAAAAGCACAATCTAAGAGCATCTCCAACAATGTCAATCTCTTGCAATTTCAAGTGTGGTGTGTGGTCCAATTGTCACTTCAGCAACTTTAACAATTAACTCACTCCTCATTTTCATACCATCTACATCAATGCCATCAAGATGCAATTGCAACTGTGAGTCCTACTTAATGAGAGTGTTCTATTAATTTGAATTTTGTCATCTTAACGCGTTTAGTGTATTTTTCTCTCAAGTTGTTCTTTGTCGTTGTGTTATTCGAATTATATATGGACCTTGATATTTGAATTATATATCAGCCATGATAGGAATTTTATTTAATGATTATTTTAATTACATACAATATATAAAGTATTATGTAAACTAGAAATTCAATATATAAAGTATTATGATTGAAACTGTATATATGCGTGTGTTGCATGTATGTTGAGAATGAAAGAAGGAAAGAAAGAAAAAGAAACCAAAAGGACAAAAAGTGGGCCAGTATACAATTGCATGAAACTTTCATCAGATCCAAATTTGCAACTTTTGCAATTGATCCCACATCAATGCCACTCACCATCCCACTTTCACTTCCTTGCCACATCAGCTTGCAATACTCAAGAATTGCACCATTGGAGATGGACTAAGCATCCACATCAATGATATTTGCTCAATTGCAAATCATATTTGACACTCAATATGCAATTGCAAAAGGAATTGCACTAATGTAATCATCACTTGCAAAGACGCAAGCTTGCATTAAATGAAATTGAAGATGCAAGCAACATAAAAAATAGAAAAAATAAAATTTTATTTTTCTCTCTTGATTTATTTATTTTTTTATTATAAATCACTTAAACCCTCATATATGCAATTACAAGTGAATTGCATTGATGTAAGTGCAATGAAATAACAATGAATAGGATTGCATAAAATTTAAAAAAAAAATCATAAAAACATCATGTGCAATTGAATTTGCAATTGCATTGTTGGCTCTAATTGAGAAAACAAATAAAGACTCAAAGTTAGGGGTGGGCATTGGGTGGGTTGGGTGGGTTTTGACCATAAAATGCACTCACCCGTGTTTAAACGGATTGATAATTTTTAACCCACCACCCACCCACATTTAGTCTCGGGTTGGGTCGGGCGGATGGTGGATGATTTGGGTGGGTTTGTGGGTTCACCCACATCACAATGTATATAATATAAAAGAGTCAACTTGACATGATAATAGGCGAAGAGAGTTATATGGGGAAACAAGAAGATGAAATAGGACGAAAAATGTCGAATTAGTTCTTAAAATGGATAGAAATTCTATGATGAAAGAGTTTTCTACAAATTGAGATGATTATCAGGTGCAAGGAACTAAGAAAAATAATTCCACAAAGGAAAGAGCAGTGATTTAGGCACAAGAATTAGAGGAAAAAATAAAGGGAAGAAGAGGGGATCGCTATTTGGAAGGTTGGCTTTGAGGTTTAAACTCCATGAGCAGTCCTAGTTTATGTCTAACGTCTCCACTCTCCCCTCTCTAGCGCCGACGACTTTGATCTTTTTTCTGTTGGGTTGAGCGGGTCACCCGCGCACCCACCCACAACCCACCCACCACCCGGTGGATGGCTCCCAGCGCAACCCGTCACCCACCCATAGACCCACCCACTTAACGAAATTCGGGTCAAATGCGGGTGGGTCGGCCCAAACACGCGGATGATCCGCCCGCATGCCTAGCCCTACTCAAAGTAGAAAACTAATCAAACAAAGAAAGAACAGGACAAAACACAGGAATAGAGAGAGAGAGAGAGAATGACGGAATCAGAAGAAGATTTGTCTGCTGCTACAATGGCAATTCATCATCATTTCATTCCAACAACTCTTCTCAAGTTCTCATCTCCTCTGTACAAGTTTCTCAATTAATTATGCAAAAAATAAGAAGACGACCATCCTCTTATCTTCTCCCCTCAGCTGATTAATATAATAAGCACAAAAGCAAGCACGACAGAAACAGAAGCAAACTCACAATCTCAGTCAATTAAATACTGTTTGTGCAAGTAAAGCAATCCCCGCAGCATTAACATTGCTTAATTATTTCCCTTTCTGGTCTTCTTGTCTTTGCTCCGTCAACGTCGAATGGGTTGCTGAATTCCAGGCTGATTCCTCATGAAACAGCGTCGGCCAGGAGGTGAATAGGGATTAGGGCAGGACCTTCAGCTGCAGCGGATGACGGTTGTTGAGCTTGACTTTGAGCAAGGACCCAAGGATTCCACTGCGGTCTAAGGAACTCAGGTTGTCGAAGATCTTGATAGTGATGGTACTCGTAGGGATCTTGAAATCTATTCGCAGCGGCGTACGGGGAAACAGCTTCTGCAGCTCTGATCAAACTCTCAAGGTCATGATCGCACGACCATGGCGGGTGATGTGATGATGATGGATACGTCGCCAACGGTGGGTGTAGCGGCGTCCAATAGCTGGGGAGCAGATAGTATACTAACAACAAGATTCATTAAGGGTAAAGTACCATAAAATAACAAATTAAAATTAAAAAAATAAATTTTCAATTCCCAGCCTTCCCCTCTCCGTCTCTCGATCTCTTCTCGCTGTGCCTCCTCTTGATTCCTATTCGACATTTTTCTGTTTCTCGCTCGGACTTCGTTTTCTGGGAGGGAGAGGAAAAGGAAAGAGTCTACGGAATTCGAAATTGTTTTTCTTAGTGTGCGAGCGGTGCTTCTCTTCTCCCAATCTTGTCTGAATTCATAATTCGCTCTCTTTCTACTTGGGAGTTGGGATCGTCTTTTATTTATTTGCGGCGATCCTCGGTTTGAATCGAGTTTTGCTGAGGTTGAATTGGCATCGTTTTGGCGGGGGAAAGAGGAGAATGTTCAACGGAATGATGGATCCTGAGCTCATCAAGCTTGCTCAGGAGCAGATGAGTCGGATGTCGCCTGGCGAGTTAGCCAAGATCCAGCAGCAGGTTCGCTGTCTTCCCCTCTTTACTATAGCAGCGAATTGGTAGATATTGGCGTCTGATCACCGAGCTGGATTTTCAATTCTGTTCCTTTCTCTGTGATGGCGAATGGGTGAATTTCGATTTCGCAGAATGTTTCGGATAATGGATGAAGGTTCTTGCTGGTCCCCAACTTTTACTGCTTTTCAGATTTGGGCAACATTTTGATTGATATTACTGTTACTCTATCAACCCAAGCATGAGGTGAATTGTGTTGCTATTGGGGCTATTACATGTGATCTTGGGTATTCAATATCGATGGGATTAATGGTTCATGACTTGCATGTGTACTTGCTATAGTGTAATCGAGCTTATTGGTTACAAGTTTGTGTGCTGCTTTTATCAGTATGCCTTGGGTTTCACTTGCCTTTGGTTTTGCAGATGTTTTCTAATCCAGATTTAATGAAAATGGCATCTGAAAGCATGAAGAACATGAGACCTGAAGACTTGAGGCAGGCGGCAGAGCAATTAAAGTATACACGTCCTGATGAGATGGCTGAGATTGGTGAGAAGATGGCTACTGCATCGCCAGAAGAGATAGCAGCTATGCGTGCTCGGCTTGATTCTCAGGCTACATACGAAATGAATGCGGCTGAAATGTTGAAGAAACAAGTGAAACCTCACATAGATTCACGTTGAAGGTCACAAGCGTGAAGCAATCCCACACTTGCCTTGTAATTGAAACACCACAAAGCAAACCACAACTATTTCTAAAACACACCAAAAACCTCCTAATGCAAACCACAAATGCGATATAACTAACCACAAAAAAGCATACTAGAAACCTCCTAAAACAAATCACAAGTCTCCTAAAACAAACCAGAAATTTCACAAAGCAAACCATAAATATTTTGAAAAGCACACCAGAAACACCCTATTGCAAACCACAAACACGGAAAAGCAAACCACAAAAAAACAAACCAGAAACCTTCTAATGCAACCCACAAATATATTAAAATAAACCCGACACCTCACAATGCAAACCACAAAATTTTTGAAAGCAAACCATAAACGTCATAATGCAGACCACAAATATATTAAAACAAACCAGAAACCTCACAACGCAAACCACAAAAAGTTTGAAAACAAACCAGAAGCTTCTCAATGCAAACCACAAACACGATAAAGCAAACCAGAAACTTCTCAATGCAAACCACAAACACGATAAAGCAAACCAGAAACTTCTTAATGCAAACCACAAACACGATAAAACAAACCACAAAAAGCATACAAAAATATGAGAAACCAAACCATAAATCTCACAATGCAGACCATAACATCCGGTGGTCGTTGGCCGTTGACCGATCAATGAAGACCGTTGACCGGTCAACGAAAATCGTTGACCGGTCAACGAAAATCGTTGACCAAACTCCGATGACCGTCAGTGAGTAGATTCCAGCGCCGATAGGCATATTCCGGCCCCGATGACTAGATTCCGACGCCGGTAAGCATATTCCGACCATGGTGAGCATATTCCGGCGACAGTGGCATATTCCGATGACAGAATAGCATATTCCGGCGACAAAAAAGCATATTCCGGCGACCGATGGCCGAATTCCGGCGACCAAAATTTTGGGCCGAAAAATAAAAAATATTTTTATTTTTTTATTATTATTTAAATAGATTTTTCATAATGACAATTATACCCCTGCTTTGATTTTACACTAGATCAACTCATCTAATAAAAAGTCATCATAACCCTAGCTTCCTATTGGTTGGAGACTAGTGTTGTTACAATAACAACAAAAGGAATGTTGTCATACTATCTAGTCCCCAATAGCTAGGGTAGCCATTGATGTGACGAGGAAGGATTTCCTCGTAGGTTCGTGCCCAAGGCGTGTAACCCCTCTCCTCCTAGATGTTCCGTGAAAATCGACATTGCGAATTCAGCGCCTAACCAGACTCTGATACCAATTGATGCGTGACGGCGGAATCTCACGTATCGTGGAACTTCTACGAAACTAATGAAACACGATAAAGATAGCTAAATTACTCTAATTTACTTTACTCTTATTCATTGCTTGACCATAAGCAAAGAACAACGTACATATTTATAGGACTACTCTCACAACCATTTTCCTATCAAACAAGGTAAACTAATCATAACCCAACAAGTAAACTATAACTTTCTCAACAAGACACAATAACTAATACGAATTACCCAAATAACCCAACAATTAACTAACAATTAACCCCTAATGACTAAGTCCAACTTGGCACCACCCAAATACTGCATGGCTAAACGTCGCCCTCCTATTACTATTATCGCCCTAATTTGAAACGTAAAACTACTAAATTATCCTTCATTAATCAAACCAAAATAAATTAAAAATTCCTAAAATCACTAATCCTCCAATACGATAGACCACCGGCAAATACTCCCCACTGCCGCCTACCTACAATTTGCCGCCGTTCCATCTCCTCCGCTCTTCTCCCCAATTCATCGACGACACCATCCATCCAACCGCCTTCTTTATCGAGGGAGTAATCTCTGCTCTGATCGAACACCCATCTCATTTCGTCGCCGCCCTCCTCGCACCGGACAGATACCATCCTGGCGGCAGCCGCGGCGTTGCTGTGAGAAATCAGGGGTCCTCCTATAAAAATTACAAAACAACGGCACCATACAAATATTGTTACTCTCTCCCCGTGATCATCTCCAACCCACCCATCATAACCTTCCGCACCTTCTTATTATTGGCAACAGGGAGTACTCCGCTGGTAGTAATACTGGCGTTTCCATTCCGATGTGCCTCAGGACGGGAGAACTAAAAAAGCAAGCTCCCTGAATAGTTTTATGTACTTAAAAACCTATTGTTAATTAATAATCCTTAAGTCTTTAACTAAATTAGAACTTATGATTTCCTTTCCTTCTTCTTCTTCTCATTTGGTGTGGGTTGACGATCTCCGGAGAGCAGAGGAGAGATCCTTGTAACATGGACAGCAGGTAGCAGTTTGATTCCTATAGAGAGTGTTTTTTGTTTTTTTATATGTTTAATTGTGTTTGTTATGTACGAAGAACAAAGAAATAAAAGGGATAAAAAGGTCATTTTGATGTTTAAGTTAGGGCGATTAAGTAGAATCCCGGGCGACGTTTAGCAATCCCCAAATAACCCCACGAGTGCTATCATCATCACAAGCACGACAGAAACAGAAGCAAATTCACAATCTCAGTCAATTAAGTACTGTTTGTGCAAGTAAAGCAATCCCCGCAGCATTAACATTGCTTAATTAATTCCCTTTCTGGTCTTCTTGTCTTTGCCCATCAAGATGGTACCGAATCCAAACAGATTAGCGGTTCCTTTTGAGATTGGGACGTTGAGAACAGGGCTGATTCTGGCTGTGCCGTTGGGATAATGGTGAGAGAAAGTAGATGATGAAGATCCGTACGGTTGCTTGTTCAGCCGGGATGAAGACGGTTGCTTGTGTGAAATTGGGTTTCTGGTGGGGAGATTTCTTGGGGACGGGAGGGACCGAGCCAGTGGAATTGCTCCGGGAGAGAGGCGGCGGCAGGGAGCAGATCAGGGTTTTCTTCAGGTCGCAGTTTAGGCTGCTGCTTCCCTTGAATCCCCAGAACGATTTTGTCGATGGTGATGATTGCAGCTGGTTTTGATGATCGGAAGACGCCCTCGATTGATAGTCAGATTCCGTCGATGATTTCGTTGGCAGAGGAGGCAGAGTAGGCAGAGAAGGTAAAGGGGGAAGCTTTATATGGTCTAAACTCTGCACACGGTGGTGGGCGGCAGAGCAGTTGAAATCGGCGGCTGATCGGGTGTTACGGTGGTGGAAGGGGAGGATGATTCCGTCGGCGGAGGAAGTAGAGTATTGGTCGCCGGAATTGCTGGAAACGCTGAACTCAAACGGCTGATCGGCGGTGGGAGGAGTGGGAGTAATGGTGGTGGTGGTGTTGGAATAATGACCGAGAAGGTTAGCGTCCCTCCTCCACTGCTGCTGATCCTCCGCCGTTTGGGATTCATTTTCGTCGGCGAGATCCCTGGAGAAGGAGAGTTGCGGCGCAATTTCGGAACACATCGCGCAGGGGACGGGAAATGCTTGCTCGCTGGGTTCTTTGTTGACAATTTTCCAACGGAACAAGGGATTTGTAAGAGGAGAATCTGAAGTAGGAAGTCAAAAAGCGGGGCAGAAATCAATACTTGTCATCATGTTATAACTTAACAAACCCATGCAATTTCACTAAGCGCAAAACATGAACATTAGTTACAAATATAGTCATAAACTAATCTATACATAATATAAAAATTAATTGGGGGCAATGAGGAAAATGACATTTTTTAATGCACTCTCAAGTCAGGAAATTTGAAATGAGCCTCACTTTTCTAATTTCACCATCATAAATGTATAGATTTGTTATAAAAAGTTACTATATTTGTTACAAAACTTCATGTTTTGGCATGTTTTGGTTACACATGTCTATTTTTTCCAAACTAAACCACACATACAATATATTATTTAATGTTTGAATCAATAATACTTGAGTTCCGATTTCAGGATCACTCTTTTTTTTTAAGAAATTTCAGAGTTACTCTTTTTCTATAAGCTATAAATAAATTAAGGTAAACTATAACTATGAAAGCCTCATCAGTCATCGCAAATATGTTTATAGAGTTTAATCAAAAGAAGCTACCGGACACAATGAGTGGGGTTCGGAGGCCGGCGGACGTATCCTCATCCCCTAATACCAAGAGAGAAAAAGAAACCATGCAAGCCAAGAAGAAGGTACGTAGCATCAACCTGGGTATTGAAACTATGGAGGTGGAGGACATCACTGCGGAAGAGATGGAAGAGGAAGTTGGACCACCGCAGCAGAGGCCATCGATTTTCCAAGCCGGCCCATCAGTGTGGAATAATGGGAGAACTTCAAACAAGAGAGTTGGTATGTGGCTGATTCGGATTCTGAAGATGTCGCACAAGCAGAGAAGGAAGAGGATGATATGATCGATGAGATGGAGGAGGATTCAACATGGCCAACGACTATTTTCACGGCAGCAGAAAAGAGACAATGGCGCAGAGAATGGAGATTAGCTTTGGTCGTGCAAGGACTGGGAAGGAACGTGTCGTACCAACCTCTTGCTCGTCAACTGATTTTCCTATGGGCACGACATGGCGACCTACAAATCTCTGACCTAAAGAACGACTGCTTCCTCATACGTTTTTTGTCACCAAGAGGATTATGAAAGAGCTGTTAATCTGGGCGGGGGGAGGGGGGCGGGGGGCGCATGGCTACTTGGAGACACTTATCTCACGGTCATGAGGTGGTATAAGGGCTTTAACCCATGGATGGCCACGGTGAAATCCACGATGGTGTGGGTGCAGCTACCGGATTTACCAATAGAGTTTTTCAATAAAGAAGCAGTTATGCGAATCGGAGCTCTTATTCGGAAACCTATTCGAGTGGATAGGGAAACTGAAGAGGGAGCAAGAGGCAATTATGCTCGGGTATGTGTGGAGGTGGATCTCTCAAAACCATTGCTTGCAAAATATAAGGTTGAGGGGATTAAATATCATATTCAGTACGAGGGGTTGGACGGGATTTGTACTGAGTGCGGAAGGTATGGGAGATCTACTGACCAGTGCAATTGTAAGAGCCTCAAACTAAAGAGCCAATGTCAGACACAGTGGAGATGCTCCCTGAAACTCCCACGAAGGAGACAATGCCAGAACTGGCTTATGGCGACTGGATGATGGTCAAGAAGAAGGAAAGATGCCCTGCTCATAAGCTCTATGATGTGGGAAACAAGGGAGTGACATATGCCCAAGCCATTAATGCTGGTCAGAATAGATTCCACGTTCTTAATGAAGGCATGCATGGTGAACGAGGTCTTTCTAATAAGAATGAGGCCAAGTCTGTGACACCAAAGGCGAAGGTTCAGGAGCATAAAAAACGACAATATACAGCAAAAGCAATGCGATAAGGGAGGATCCATGGACTTCAGGTGGCCCAGGGCCCCTGTAGTTTCGCACCTTTTTTTCGCTGACGATTCTATCTTTTTTGCTAGGGCCACACCACAGGAGAGTCGGGAGCTGAAACAGATTCTGAGTGACTACGAAAAATAGTCTGGCCTGATGATCAACTATGAGAAGTCGAAAGTGCCTTTTGGGGCTAGTGTGAAGCCGCATCAAAGTCTCTAGGTGAGCTCGATTTTGAATATGAAGACCGTGGAAAAGCATGAGAAGTACCTGGGATTAGCTACGGAGGCATGTGATCGAAGAAGGAATTATTTACTACCATCAAGGAAAGAGTGAGGAAGAAGCTTTCGGGATGGAAGGAGAGAAATATGGTTGCAACTACTCGAGAGGTGCTGATCAAATCTGTTGCCTATGCTCAACTGACTTATGTCATGTCGGCTTTTCGGGTACCTAAGGGAGTTATTGATGATTTACATGGCATGATCATGCGATTCTGGTGGGGACAAAAAGGAAATGAAAAGATAATCCCATGGCTAGCGAGGGAGAAGCCTGTTTGCGCGAATGAGGAGGGGGGGTATTGGATTCCAAGATCTCAGAGGTTTCAGTATTGCCCTGCTGGCTAGGCAACTATGGAATCTCCATTAGCGACCAGCCTCTCTTATTGTGACAATGATGAAGGCAAAATATTACAAGAATGGATCAGCACTTGAGGAAAATATTGGGTACCGACTGAGCTTTGTTTGGCGAAGTATGATAAGTGCACATGAGTTCTTATGTAGTGGTTTGAGTTGAAGGATTGGAAATGGGGACTCGGTGCTTGTTTGGGGAGATAGATGGTTGCCAGATGTCCCAGGTTTCTTTGTTCAGTCACCGCCGATGGGGCTTCCGGTTGGGGAGATAGATGGTTGCCAGATGTCCCAGGTTTCTTTGTTCAGTCACCGCCGATGGGGCTTCCGGTTGACTCGTAAGTCAATAAAGCACTTGTTGAAATGGGATGAAGCACTTGTTGAAAGCTGCTTTCTAGTGGTGATGGTGGAGTCCATCTTGCGCATTCCGTTGCGAGGCATCAGCGAACCCGATCGGCAGATTTGGGCATCGAGTAAATATGCATGGGAGCTATGAAGTTAGGAAGGGTTATCGCATGTAGCTGCAGGATTTCATGTCTCAAAAAGGGTTACAACCAGTAAGAGAGGCCAATATGTGGAACGCTATTTGGGCTATGAAGGCTCCACCGAAGGTTCGACATTTTATGTTGCGTTTTTCTAGAACATCCTTAGCTACGGGTGACCAGGTTAGTACGAGAAGTGAGCGGCGAGGAGATGCATGCCCTTTCTGCAATTTGAAGGAGACACATGTCCATTTATTTGGGGAGTGTGGTTGGGCATGCGGAATTTGGAGTGCATCAACTCTAGCTAAGTGATTTGAGATGAGAGATAATGGGGGATGCCTCGATCGGGTGGCATGAGTGGCTCAAGTATCAACAGCGGATGAGTTTGCAGACTAGAGTGTATTGCTATGGTTTCTTTGGAAAGAACGAAACGACCACTTGTTCAATGGTGCAAAGTTGGCTGAAGAAGAAATAGTGATGCGAGCCCAGGCTTTCCTTGATGATTTAGACAATACCAAGATACTTTGGAGGTTTCATCGGGACCAGGTGTGTCGAAGACCTGGCAACGCCCAAGGGAGGTAAAAATTAAAGTAAATGTCAATGCATGAGTGGTGGATGGAGGAATGGGTTTGGGTGTGGTTATTAGGGATGCTATGGGACGGTTCGTGCTAGCAGTCGCGAAGAAAGTTCGAAATGGGGGAAATCTGGAGATGGGCGAGGCGCTGGCAGGAGAGTTTGGCCTACAATTGGTGCGGCAACACCAGCTGGGATCTCCAGTGCTCGAAACAGACTGCCTAACGTTGGTGGGCAAGCTTTCGACAACAAGGAATGTTCATACTAAAGTGAGAGTAATATGTCGCAGCATATGCAATGGCGCATGTTAATACGAGGTGGAACGAAGCGGAGGTCTGGTTCGATAGACCACCTATGTGTTTGCTTGATCAGTTAAAACTGGACGATGTAATTGTTTCTTCTGATTAATAAAGCTCCGAGCATATTCCTATATAAAAAAAGAGTTTAATCAAATAAATAACATCAAATACAATGTATCCTAATTGGTTATAATGCTCTTTTTCATATAAGTGATCGGGTTGAAATCCAATTATAACATTTTTAGTATCCAATAATAACATTTTTAGTATGTAAAGATAAACTAGATGCAAAGACAACCATGACCTTCCTAGAATCACTCTCAGACCACGAGATTTGAAATGAGACTCCCACTTTTATCATTTCACCATCATATTTGTCATAACAGAAGCGTGCAATCAAAAATCCAGATCAACACAAACGAACACAAATTTAACGTGGTTCACTAACACAATGTGTGATAGCAAATCCATTGGCAGGGGAGAACAAATTTCACTAATTTGAGGAGAATACAGGTTACAAACAAATTCCGGAACGGATAAACCAAACAAACTAACCTGACTGGACTAACTACAGATTAGGGTAATGAAGAGTATTTATAGAACTCTTCTCCTAATCTCAAACAGAAAATCAAACACATTTTTGAAACCTACAAGGAAAAAATTAAACTAAGTTCAAATACAAACATAATAGACCCAAAACACAAAACAAAAGAACCAAGCACAAATCAAATTTAAATCATATTCTAACAATATTATATGTAAATTAGTCTATAAACGATTGACCAATGGTTCTATAAGATCAGAGGAGATGATATAAAAGATTATTGTCATTTAGTAATCTGATCTAATGTGGTCGACGATTACAATTACACTATATAGTCTTGATTGTCAAACTCCTAATATCCTAACTAATGATTGTTACGATAGTAGCCCTCATACTCCATCAAAATATCTCTTTCGTCTAAAAAAAATTGTAATCCATTTACCAAGTATACACAGACATGTAACTAGTACTAGTCAGATAAGGAAACCGAACCCAAAGTGTTTGTGTTGTTTCTTTCTCTTGAATAGTGGTAGATGGAGAGGCTATAGTGCAGAAATAAATATGGTGTTGTTACTTTCGTCTGCGGTCACCATCCCCACAATGGTGTTTTATTGTGGTTTCCTTGCGAGCCTGACTGGTCATTCGCCCGCACACTTTGGTGGGTAGCAGATCAGAAGCCAGCAGAACTCAAGCAAAGCAAAGCAAAGCCAAGCCAAGCCAAGTCATGTTTATGTAGTTGGCGACAAATGGCATTTAATTTCTCATCATCCATACAACCCAACACACTAGTTAGTAGCGTGCGTGTCGTAAGGACAGTGGATGGAAGAGAGACCTGATCAAATGCCTCATCATCAGCATTGCCTGCCCTCTCGCTCGGTAAGGATTTGGCTACTGCTGTATAGATGTTGAGCAATCTGTGCATATTGATGTTGTTGAATATTGCACGTTCTCTATCTTTATATTTGAAAATTGTATGATTTTTTATAAATAATATTTATCTTATTGATTCGGCGATTAAAAATACGTGAAAATAATCTAATGATATCAACCAACACGGAACTTTCTTATTATAATAAAGGGACATATTATACGAGATGATTGTTTTCAACCGCAGCTTTGTACGCCTCTTCATTGCCAAAACAATTAAGGAGGCGATTATCCAGTTGAAACTGAACCGAATTGAACCAATCGAAACCACAACTGAAGCTGCTGAATTCCTGCTCTAGATATAAACCAAAATACAGATGATTTCAATCTGATTCTGGACTAGATGTAGATTCTGTCAAATATGGACTGAACCAAACCCATAATTGTCTTGTAATAGATCATTCGTCGCCTTAGCGAGCTCCTACGTAAATGATGAATACAGCAGCAGCTATTCTTGTTTGGTACCAGGTAGAAAGCATTGCAAATAAGATCACATTTCGTTACAAAGCAACATCAATCGAGCAATGGCCAAGATCTATCTGTTTAAGTTCATTCTATACAGTATATACAGTTACGGTACAGCTGCACTAATCTCGGTTCAATGATGATTTCCCGATTTAGCATCCACAAGCAATGACTAAATGAATTTTGTTGCCCAGGAAAGGAAGCAATTAACAATTCCAATCATCATACAGCTATGATGTCAGAGATTACCGTAGATCAATGACATCAAATTTAAGGGTAGGGTTCATATAAACGTCTGTACACGCTTTGTAGATTGGTCCGCCGTCCGCTGGTGGATCGTGCGCATGAAATCCCCTTTGCTGACACTGCCTTATTACTGACATGCCTCCCGGAGTTGTCAGCCGAAAGATGCCATGTTTCCTGAATAACGAAATAGCAAGACCAACAGTGAGTTTGGAATTCTATGCAGAAGGGAAAAAACAGGGGAGGATATACTTGCCTAGAAGCATCTCGTGGTGCCATGACAATAGCTACAGATTCTGGCAACATGATCTGGAGAGAAATAGACATGTTTACAAACATGCGTTAGAAATATCAAGATCCTTACTTTCAGGGTTCAGAAGTATTAGGGGGATACTTACCTGATAGGAGTAATGGGTGTGGACATCGATGGATGACATGAAACAAGATTGTGTAGGATGTGTCTGAAATTTGAACATGGAAGAAGGACCAGTCAACATTTGTGTCCAAGTAATAGGGTAGGTACAATAATACATTTTGATAAGGACACCGCGAAGAACTAATTTGCTTATGAACCTTTCTTAAAGTCTACAGCTTCTAGGATTAGTAGCATATTAGTCATTAGAGTCACATTGGATGATAAAAACCCGAAAAACCAAGAAACAAGATACTCCAAATCATACATTAAGCTCAATGATAAACAGGTTAGCATTTCTCCAGTCAGTTCCATAAAGCTTTGCATCTCGAAACTTAGGTAGTTATTTTTGCATATAATGATCCTACAATAATGTAACAAGTTTACAGAATAAATTCCGTTCTTTGGCACTTTGGTGCATAGAGGGGCAGAAAGAAGGGCCTATTTAACCAAAATCTGCCTTTCTAAACTTCACTAATAGTTTAGCGTATAGCAGGCACTATCTCGACATAGCAGAATCAATCTTTGACCAGATTTATCTGGCACTTTGGTTTTGTTTTGTTACTACAGGCTATCCTCAAGTTCCAAATTTTAATCAGATGTCCTAGGTACTTCAATTTACAAAACAATATACCTCTTTGCAAAACAGTACACCTAATTAAACACAATACCTTTCACAACCCGAAATGAAGCATTTTACATCTCTAACTAAACGAATGAAACAAAAATCAAACATCAAGTAGGCAACATATAGCATATAGGGAGGTATATTTGAGCTGGCAAATAATGTGACAAATTACACAATGTAACAAACCGAAGACAGAGCTCATAAACTATTCAGACAAGCCACTCACATGAATCCACCCAAGGGGGAAAAGGGACCTTTTATCCTGCACTTCGAAAATTTCCTCCTCATTTGTCGCCTGACACTGTTAATAGACACATGTATAAGCTATAAGAAACAAGATAACCAAAATCAAATAACCCATCCCATGCAGAAAAGAATTTCCTTACAGAGTCTGTTGTCGATTCCTGTTTCGGAATGATGAGGGCTGAAATATAAAACTTCCTGTTTTTCTGGAAAACAGATAATGAGGCATCAGATATTAAGATTTCTGACGCAAAATATCAGAAACAGCAAATTTACTATGAAAAACACTTACAAGAGAGCCAGCAAGGATACCACAAGTTTCCAAATTCTTATCCGTATTAATCTTAGCCAACTTCATGAAACTTTCCATCATGTTGGTTGACTGCGAAGGAAATTATTGCAGTTCAGGTTAGAACAAAAAGACTATGATCTTCTCTAACAAATGCCCCTGAACTTCCAATAATATAAATCATCCAACGATGCAGTGAAACTTTTAAACACAAAACTAAATTTCATGATAAGTGGGAAAACATTCACAACATTAAGCATGAGAAATTGTATAAGAACTAGGATTCTCCAGGAGATGAAAGTCAAAAGGCAGAAATGCTCAAATCCATAAGTCCACAAAGAAGAACGATAAAAAGACTCTTGCAAAGCTTACAATGTGCAGTTCAAGGGGAGACTCTGAACGAAGATCAGGTGCGGAAATGTCCATTTTACAATCTGGCTCCATAACTTGTGGAGACGTTACTGGAATCAAATCTTGTACTTCTGCCAGTACAGCTGGGGGAGAAGGTTGTCTAACAATATCTGTATGGATGGGGACGTCTTGGGTATCAAACGAAATCATGGCAACCGGTTCCACTGTTTTACGGTTCCGACTTTCATCACTCTGGATAACAGTCAATTCTGCACTTGAACTTTGAGGCTCTGAAGTCCTAGAATCTGACTTATGTGGTAATCCATTTCCTATTGACGGTTCTGAGCTGCCAAGTTGTGAAATGCTAGACTCTTTCTCCACAGGAAGTGAACTTTCCACAGAATGCTGCAAGCTGTTCATACACAAATCTTGAGGAATGAGTCCAAGACCAGAGATTTTATGATGGAAACAAGAATAAATCTGCAAAGACTATGGAATCAGTCATTCCTATGACAAAGGTTTGAGTTTTCCAACAATGAAAAAAGCAACAATAAATATATCAGTTATTTCTCCCATTATTTGATATCAATATTTAAAATGAGTCTTACCGTGGAATTTCAACTGGCGATAGGTCTATATTCATCGGATATTGGACCTAAACTGACAGAATAGTCAGTGCACACATTTTAGGCATAAAAGAAACAGAATGAAAGAAAAAGGTTGGCGATTTCATACTCTTTTATCACTTTTAGGTGGCTGCCAGTTTCCATACAATCCGTTTGGACCAAATATAGAATGTCTTGAAAGAGTCTCCTCCTTTGGGAGTGGGAAGCTTAAGGATCTGCAAGAAGAAGTTAAACACATAAGCTTTTCAATAAAGTTAAGCAAATCCATTTTAGTGAAGTCTTAGCTCCTAGACTGGAGAGGCCACCATCTACCACTAACTACCCCAATTTTCAGTTATTGTCTCCAAACTTCATAACCTAATAAAGATAACAAACACCATTCCTATACCAGTCCCACGTGGGTTAGCAGCCCGAAACAGCTCATTGTTAGAGTTCTCTTTAGAGGACAGCATGCAAAATACACCTCTGTATGAGATATCAAATGCTTAAAAGACAATTGACTGAAATATATAACAAGCTGAACTGAGAGTTAACTAAGTTGTACGCATGGAAGAATTTTAGCAAAACTTCACTGTGGAAAATTAGCAACGACCATTCAAGAAAAATAGAAGATTCGAAAATATCAAACCACTTACATTCTATGGAACTGTTCTTCTACTGGCCTGGCAAGGGAAAGTTGCTGCGTCCTAGGACCTGAAAAACCAGATGTCTGGAATATCGGTCTCACTGCCTGTCATATTCGAAACACATAGAATAAAGACTCCCTCAATGATGCAAAAGCCAAACAGAAGTTTCACACTCAATAAAAAAATGGTTATTAAAAGTAGCATGAGCAAATAAAACCAAGAAACAGACTTGCCTTCGTCAAATCATAGCTAGGCATGGTTCCATTTTTAACAGGAGGCCACTGTGATGCATCACTTTGATGGTTATTGGACCAGCCATTTAATTGATATGTGTGGCGATGGTTAAATTCGTTGATCCTCTGTTGCACTGCTGGCTTCAACTTTTCAAGCTCTTCAACAGCAGCCAATAATTTCTGCAATAGTAGCATGCATACCATAAGTTTTGAAGCTTGACAACTCACCATTCATGAAGATACATACATGTCTGTGTCTGCGTAAGGTATTACCTTTTTCAAGTAGACTTTTTTAGTCTGAGGAGATGAACCATACTCTCGATGACGTGGTATCGTCTCTGAAACCAAGCTGGAGAAGAACTTATATTTTACCAATTAAACTACATGTAGAAACCCAAACAAGAAGAATTCCTAAAACAAAGAGCTTTCTACTAAGAACAAGCATGATCAAGACGTTAACAATAACCTAAACTAACACATTATTATTCTACAGGGGAATAGAAAATGAAGAAAAGCAGGAAACATATTCCAATTCGGCAGAACCTGCTTTGCCCTATTAATGAGCAAACACATATTGAATCATATATGACACGGAGGTGATTAACGTCAGAAGCTTTGTTCTTACCTTGAGAACCTTAAAAGCATGATGTAAAGATCTATTACATTCTTCTCGAGTCGAAATATGTCAGCCTAAAATGTCATTGAATAATCATAAGTCAAAATCAGCACAAGGAAGTTTTCAATGGTGCAGGAATGAATTTAAAAGAGAAATTAGTTCAAGATACAACACAAGAAAACAAGAAACAGTCATATCCAATGCCAAACGCAAACTTTTCCAGTAATCCCATGGTTTAGAAATTACTCGTAACTCGTAAGCATAAACATCATCAAATCACAGAAAGTCTCACATCAGAACCATCAACACAAAACTTAGGAAATCAGGATGTAAAGATAAGATCTCGCAGAAAACCGAGATCAAAACATAAGTCTGTGCAGTAACCTTTTGAATTCTTTCAGATAAAAATAAGTAATCAAGGTGTATTCGAAGCTTAAAAAATATGATAGTTAGGAGCACAAGAGAAAGTAAATGTCCAGGTTTCCAAAGATGCTCGGCAGATATCAATAATTGTCATCTGGTTAAAACTTAAGAAACCCCTTAATTTCACTAAGAGCATTTGTCAGGCCTGATTTTCCATAACTAAGTCGCTGAAGATACAAACTTCACGGCGGCAACTCTTCATTGCTTCACTTAAGGATGGCCAAAGTGATGGTCCTAGGTGGTCTGTGTTTAAGTTCTATTGGCAAACAACAAAGGAGGAAATGACGAGGTCGTTACATAAGTTTTCCCTAGTAGATTCCAAAAGAAACCTTCCGTCAACTCTAAGGTCTCACATGCATTAGTGTAAGAGTGATCAACACACCTAGAGACAACAGATTAAGTTGCTAGTCTATGCGTTACACCCGTGGGACTGGAACAGAATCACTGACATTGAAGATAAGCTAACAATACCTTGTAATTAATAGGAAACCACCAGTAGTACTGAAAGCCTTCCTCAAACCAGAGACTACTGCTAGTTCTGCTGCTGAAATTTCATACTACAAAGAGCTAAGCTGAAACAAGTAAATTCATCCAGAATCAACTAATCCTTGGCAGCCGAGGATATTCTCTACATCCATTCTAGTACTTTACCGGAAGCAGCAAACGAGATTGATGAACTGGAGCTAAGGGATCAAACACGGTAATCAATTGTGGTCTAGACCTCCATTTCATTCAAAAAACAATTCCGCTAATCGGAAAACCCAAATTGCAACGAGAAAACACGAGCTCCACATCAGAGACGACTGGGTCAGAAGAAGAGATATACGAACCTGGCGAAGAATATTGTCGGCGATTCGGTAATAGAATCTGAGGGATATCCGATTATCGACATCCAGTCTTCGTGCACTGGCAGCAATATTGATTCTATCTGAAGAAGAAGCAGGCCTCATTTCTACCTTGGCTGGAGGTTTATCTGGGAACATAAACCCTGAAATCCGGATTTATGGCGATCCTCGATCCTTGGCTGTGGCCTGGTGACGAGGCTGGGATACAGGCCGCCGATGGCTGCTCCTGGTCGACGTGATGGGGGTGGGAAGAGAGCGACGACGAGCGACAAGGGAGCAAAAGAGGTGGTAATTTTGGGTTCCTCTAAGGGCAAGTGAGGTAGTTTCAATTTTGTGTGTTTATTTTTGGTATTAGAATTTATTATTTATTACTTATTAGGCTATTCTCATTTTTCAGCAAGGAAAATGAATTTGTTTTTTAGTAGTTGGTGGGTTGTTCACTAGTTGAGACTTGAGGCAAGTGGTTTTGACGTTTGACCTACAATATTTGTTTTTCCAATTTTTGCCCTAAGATTTTTTAAAAAAAAAATTATGATCGGTAGAAAGAGGGTAAGTTAATCATTTTTTTTATGGGAACCTTGAGAGAGGGTAAGTTAATCATGCAACAGATGGTTTGTCAATTCGAAGTAGCCCAAACCTTTCACTCAACAACAGATTTGCAAATGTAGGTGTGGTTTGGAAGTTGTCATTGTAAGTTTTGTATTTGTTAAATGCATGTACTGTTTACAAATATTTAGAAGTGTCAAGTTGTAAAATAATGCATGTATTGTTTGGTGTGGGTCTCACCTATAATAAAAAAAAGAGGGATTGTACAATCTCAACTAAAAGTTGTGATTGTTGGTTTAATATTTGAGCTCCTTTTCTTTTTTCCATTTATAACCATAGTTCATTTTGTTTTATATTAATGGAGGGCAAATATGACATTTCTTTATAAAGTAATTTTATGACAATAAATTCATAAACTATAATCTCAACAACCAAACAATGTAATGTCAAAATACATCTATTGTATCAATGCATGCATTTATATCATAATGATTCATAACAATACAACGATAAACATATGCAACTTCCAAACGACCCCGTAGTAACACTCTCTTTACTTGTCACTCTCTAGTCTCTCTCCTCTTCTCTTTTGCTGTGCTTTTGCGAATTGGTGAGATCTCAATGCGGGCAATTATCAAAGAAGTTACCCCAGGCATGATTATATGTGTCAAAATAGAACCTGACCTGAGTAACCGTCCGTTTAACCCGAACCGCAACCCGCCCGCAACCCGAGTTGACTAAAAGTCAATGACCCGTAACCCGCCCGACCTATAACTCGGTTGACTCGTAACCCGATTGACCTGCAACCCGACTGACCCGCAACCTGATTGAACCCGAACCCGACTAACCCGCAACCCAATTAACTCAAACCCGACTAATCCGAACCCTCCCGATTGACCCGAATAATTACAATATTATGTAATATATAGGGGTCGTTTGGATGGGTTAATTTTCAATTTGGAATTTGTAAGGTCAAATAACTCACTTTTTGTACATGTGGTATTTGTATGTTATTTGGAGGAAATGAGAGTTAAATTATCTTGTTTGGATGAAAAAAATTAATTAGTTATTTTCATAAGGTATTTGGTAACATAAAAAAGCAAATACCATAATAATCTTCATCAACAATCTACTACTTTTGCATTCATCTTAAGTCAAGATTGATAAGGTCACTCTTTGTTCCGAAGAATAGAAAGTGAGTACCAAATCTTCGAGGGCAAAACCAATACACCATGGAAAATGGGGAAGTTTGAGAGCTTAAGAATCAGATTAATCAACCTTTTACTCATGAGTTGATGAAGAAATCTCGGGGAGTTTGAGAACATTCAAGATCTCATTAAGCCAAGAAGCCAACTGATTATCCACCAATCCTTCAACTACATAGAAGAAGATCCACATAAATCACATAGACCGAAAAATACACAACTCTGAAACATGTGGGCCAATCTTGACCGACAAGAAGGCTGAAGCAGTACACATGCTCAGCTCACCCCAAAAAGTATATTTTTCGCGCAACTACTACCAAGAGGATATATGATATATCTCAAGACCACAATTTCAAAGTCGCTACAGTACAAGCATGAACTATGGATCGAGTTGATCAAAAAGGATTGACAATCTTGGAAGATGAGCAATTTAAAGGAGACCCAGGCAAAAATTTGCACAGAAATTATCAAATGCACCACATCCTCTTTTTCACTTAACATTCACGATGTTATCAGCTTGATTCATCACCAATCAATTTCAAAAATCATCATGCATTAATTTCCAACAATCTCCAAAATAACTCATACATCTAGTTGGATTTCCAATGTCTGTTAAAAGAAATCATTGCAAGATAAAAACACTGCATTCACATGAATTCTTCAAGTCTCACGTTTAGTCTTCATGTGCATTTATGACAAGCCACAACATCGGTTTAGGTACGTCCTAAACAAATACCAAAAACATACGATATCGGTGATGGTGAACAATCTCGAGCCTTCTAATGGATTTGTTCCGTCGGCAATGACAGACAAATCAAAAATTACCCAATAAACTTGTTTCGTCGGCTATCACAAGCAAATTAGACCCCTACTAAATTTGTTCCGTCGACTATCACGGACAATTTAGAAAACCTAGTCAATTTTCTTCGTCGTCTATCACAAGCAAATTAGAACCCTCATGCTAAATTTGTTTCGTCGACTATCAGGAGCAATTTAGAAATTACGTAGTCAATTTGCTTCATCGACTATCACGAGCAAATTAGACCCCCTAGTAGACTTGTTCCATTGACTATCGCGGAAAATTAAAAAATTACCTAGAAAATTTATTTCGTTGACTATCACGAGCAAATTATATCATCCTTTTGGCTTGTTCCATCGACTATCACGAACTATTCAAAAATTACCTATAAAACTTGCTTCGTCGGCTATCACGAGAAAATTAAATCCATCCTTATCAAGTTGTTTCGCCGACTATCACGGGCAACATGGAAGTTACATAGAAAATTTGTTTCGTCGACTATCACGAGCAAATTAAATTCCTCCTATTAAAACTTGTTACGTCGACTATCACGGACAATGTAGAAAACCTTTAAGTGCTCTGCACACCGCAAGAGGGCAACCAAATTTCTGAGTCTGCTTACCGCAGCCGGAAAAATCTTCACCCACTCTACATACTGCAAGAGGGCAACCAAAATCCCAAGTCTGCTTTGCTGCAATGTGAACAAATCTTCACTCACTCTGCTTACCGCACGGGGCAACCTAACTTCCAAGTGTGCTCTACCATCACAAGAACAAACCAATATCCTATTCTTCTTACCACATGAGACAACCGAATTCCAAAGTCTTCTCTACAACCACGATGATAAGTCAACTTCTCACATAGCTATAGCTCACGGGAGCTGAAGAGTGCCCCTACCAAGCAATACCTCACAGGAGCTGGCGAGTCCCTCTACCATTAAACAACACACGAGAACTGAAGAGCGCCCCTACCATTCAATACCTCACAGGAGCTGACGAGCCCTTCTACCAATCAACAACACGCGGGAGCTGAGGAGCACCCCTACCATACAATACCTCTCATAGGAGCTGGCGAGCCCCTCTACCATTCAACAAAGCACAAGAACTAAGAAGCGCCTCTATCATTAAATACCGAACCGGAATTGGCGAAATATAATAGTGTGAGTATCAGAAAATTTCTCGTGTTGGCAAACACTATATAAAAACGTAAATTTTCCATCATCGATAAAGACTATCAAAGGAATTAAAGTCCTCCCAATCGTCGATCTTATACCCACACACAAAATTACGAACGATTCTCACATCACCAAAAAATCACATTCTTTTTAAAGATCTAATACAACTATCATGCCACTTCTTGAAAATGTGGTGTGTTTATAAGAACTTTGTATAACTCTTTATACAAAGAAATATACAAAGGGGGGCAACTGTAGACACCACATTTTGTCTGGGGCAACGACTGTACTTAAACTCAAAAAAGGAAAAATTATAACGATGAATTAAATAGAATGCTTTTGAAGGATTTGGTTGAGATTAGCAGCGGCTAGTCAGTAAGTACCAATAACTCCAAACTTCAGTCTTATTTAGTTCTAATATCAAAGTGATCAGGATTACCAGTGACACTAATGATTACCAAGATCATTCCTATACAATTCTAGATAAATTATTTGAGATTTGCAGTGGCAAATCTAAAGCATCAATGACCAAAGCTACCCATGTCTAGTTTTAAGTTGACTCGATTGGATGAAAGCAATAGTAACTTTAATTTTATTGTTGGTTGTTTTACCGTGTAAAAGACTACTCAAGGTTTGCGTTTGGATTTGGATAGGACATAAGAGATTAGCTTAATTGAATAAAAGAAATAGAAGTTTTGTTTTGTCAATTATACATCACCATAAAGGTTTACATCTCGATAAAAAAAACAATGACCTTGATTAATATTCCATGAGCTCTTCAAATACAATTGCTAACATATACAAAAATAAAACGAAATACAACTCCAATCAAATGAAAACTCGAACTAGGCTTGAAGCCCGTCTCCTTGGCACTCAAACCAGCCACAGACCTGCAAAAGAACCAAATTGAAACCAGTTCAGGCCCAAGAGTGAAAGTCCAATTCCATATCTGATGCCCAATTCGAGCACATGTTTTGGCCCAGAGTCGGGCTTAGTTCAAGCCCAGACGAAGAACAGCACTGCAGGCCCAATTCGGATAATAAGCTGACGCTGACGAGTTCGGCCCAAACCCATTTAAGCCCAACCCGTCTTAGGCCACCTTATCTACAGCCGATTACGCATTTTAAGGAGGGAGACAGTTTTTTTGCAGAATTAGCCTGAAGGGCAGTCAATAACAATATGACACGTGGCGCTTTCTTTTTGCTATAAGTGAGCTCTTCGACTCTTGTTGAAGGGGGGGGGGGGGGGGAGGGCACTACAGAAACACTTGGAGCTGGTTTTTCTTTGCTTTGCACCCATCTATTACACGAAGTTCAGTCCAGAGGTTTGAAGATCGAAGCAGAGGCAGGCCATTCTTGGACCTGGAAACTCCAATCAGGTTAGTGTTTGTACTCTCCCACCTTCTTAATAATATCTGGTCTTATTATTGTCAAATATATACTCAATCACCGTACAGTTTTATCCGTCAATCCATTTACTTTACGAGTATCTTTAATTGAGGCGTTTTGATTGGTAAAACCACATCTGTTTATATCTATTCATATCAATTCCGTTTCAGCGTTATGCTTTAATTCCTAGTCTATTTTGAGACTATCATACTTTCAATTTCCCTTATAGCAATAGGCAACAAAAAACCATCTCTAAAGTTTAGTTTAGATCCGCATCCAACAAAATTCAACATATCACCATTTCAGATCTACAAACCCATAACCATTTAGAAAGTCACTCCCTAACCCAAACTAGATAAATCACAAGCACCGGATTTGATTCATAATAACAAGAAGTAGCGATCTATAGCATAAAAATATACTCGTTTCCACCATGGCTAAGAGTAGCCATGCACCGCCATCAAATAAACCAAATTTCACAAATTCTGCAAAAATATAGATTAATTAGCTCTAGTTAATTGCTATCCTCTAGCAAATCTATGTTCATGAAAAACCCAGATCTACCTAAAATTGCAAACCAAATGCATACAAAAAAAATTTAAGAGTCTAGAACCCGAATCTGTTTAAAATCCGTCAAATCCGAAGTAATAGATCAAACAATGTCTTAATCTTTTTTTTTTAATTTAAGTATCTTAGCCAAATAATCTAGGTTTTGAAAAAAAGCTCACCTACATTAATTTCGGATTAAGAACCTGCACCAAAACAAAATAGAGGTCAGGATCAATTACAAATTCGTAGTAAACCCAAGGAAATTAAAGCAAAAAAAAACTTACCGAGGTCAAATAACTCTAGCCGCCTTTTTCTCTATCTTTGCCGCCGGCAATCCAGCGAGCCCCTTCTTCTCCTCCACTCGACCCAAAAAAAAGTAAAATTTTTTTAAAACACAAATTACCAGAAAAAACGAATAAACCCAAAAACAAAAATTAGGTCCAAACCTACTGTCGACAGTCCCTCGGTCTGGTCGTCGCCGCCGGTCTCCTCCCTCCTTCTCTCCTCGCACAAACACAAGACCCAAAAAATATCAAGATTAAAACAACATCTTATGCGAAAAATTATATCTAAGCGTGCATGTTTAGGAGAAGCTCGCCGAAGAGCAGATCGAGAGTGGTAGAGAGCAGATCGAGAACTCCCCTCGACTTTGGGTCGGTTTTCCGGAAATAAAACACAACAACATAGGATTATAATCTCAAAAACCCTAAAATCATACCTAAAAGTAGTAGAAATAGTGCATGCAATACAAACAAAAAAACAAACCTTCAATGTCAGCCTCGTCGCAGTCATCGTCATTGCCGGAGGCGGATGCCTCCAGTCGCTGTCGGCGGAGAGGAAGGTTTGTACTGCCATCCCTCTCGGTTTAGAGAGACGGCAAGAAGAGAAGGTAGAAAGATAGGGCGGCGCTTGGTGGTTAGGGCTTCGGTTTCTTTTGGAAGAAAAAGAGAGAAGTGAGGGAGAGAGGATCGAGAGAAGAGAGATGTGAGAGCGGCGGCCGCTCTTGGCTGATGGTTTAGATTGATTAGGATTTTTTGTAGAGACTAGAGGTGGCAAATGGATTGGATTGGTGGATTGGTGGATTGGATTGGTTGATCAATGGATCAAATGGATTGGATCTAATGGATTGGTGGATTCATGGATTGGATCAAGTGGATTGGTGGATTATCCATGAATCCAAATAACATCCTCAACCAAGGACCAATATATAAAACGTAAAAAGTTTAGGTACTAAAATGTCACAATGAAAAATTTTAGGTACCAAAATGTAATTTTCCAATGATATTTTTTGTATAAAAAATTAAATTTTAGGTACCAAAATGTAAAAAATAAAAATTTTAGGTACTAAACCGTAATTTGCCAATGATCCATGAATCCAATCCATGAATCCACCAATCCAATTGGATTTGGATCAAATGGATTGAATTTATATGGATTGGATTAGGTGGATATTTTTAATGAATTGATGGATTGGATTGGTGGATTGGATTGAAATTGCCACCTCTAGTAGAGACTATATATACCCCCTCGGGTCTAAAAGACCGTTTCACCCCTAGGGTTTCGTTGTAATTACGCGGCCCTGCCACCGCGTTTTTTGGGGAAGTACGAAATTGCCCTTCCCCTTTCTCTAAAATTAAAAAAAACGACGATAAAAAATGGTGGTTATCGGGTTTCGAACCCTCATTCTCAGGAACGAGTGCGTTCAGTGACCGTTAATTTAACTAGTTGGGCTACTGCCCATCATGCATAAATATAATCATCCCGTTTAGTTTTATTTGTTTAAATTTCTTAATACGAAATGTTGAATGTGGATTAAGTTAGTTTTGCTTATTTTCTGATACATCGAATTTCTTCTTAATGATTAAAATTATTGCATTCATTTTAGTAACATCGTAATAATCTAATTGAAATTTCATTAACAAAATTATAATACGAGAATTACGTTCAGTGGAACCTAGTAAAAGCTATAATTAAAATGATAAAAGTTCCTAACGAACTACGTGGACTTTGATCCCATACAATGGGTACATAGGTAGCCGATAAGGTTCGAGTCCAACTAATCAACTCACTTTATCTTTAAATTTTACGTCATTGGGTGTATAATTAAATCTTAAACTAATACGATAAAATTATTTAATCGTCCATTGGGCCCCTAAAATTACAAAATTATTACTAAAAATACACCCAACTCATAAAAACTTATCAATTTAAGTAGTACTGATTTAGGGCGTTGTGAGGGTGTTGCTTAACTTCCCCACACATAACTGTACTCCCGAACCCGGATCTCGAAATCGCAGACCAAGTCTCGGTTCTGACCCTAAGGTTAGAGCCGACCGAAGAGTTTTCGATCCACTCCAAGTAAGATCGATGGCGACTCCCAAAAAGCGAACCCGATACCAGACCCCCGAAAGGACGGTTGCGACACCACTTGTGGCACAAGATAAACTAACCAAACAGAGTTTCCCCGAGAAACTGGATTCGTGATTGCCAACCAGAATGCAAATAAACATAGACTCGTATTCAATGAATATACGATGAGAAATTTCACAAAATACATATATATAAAAGATATGTATGTACTGAAACTCCTAATAATTCAACAAAAGATGGAAGGCTATTATACCACTTGATTGAATTAAACTTTAGCCTATATAATTTCCTGGAATCTCATCTTGCTAGATTATCAAAGGTTGATGGAAATATCTGGATTCATTGTAGATCATCTCGATCTTGATGCGGAAACCAGTGGATGATCTTTGATCGGGCGATACTAGCAACAGCACGATCCGAGAGGTTTTGTCGTCTTCCTCAACCAAGCCTCCTTAGTTCCTCTCATGAGAGAGCTCTCATCTTCCTGGTGGGGAGAAGATGAGAATATGATTTTGGTCTTGGTGTATTGGGGACCACAACCTCAAGGTTCCTTATATACTCACCACCATGGGCTCCCATAAAACCCATAGGTGTAAGTATTGGATTTCCACCCATTTAGGTCCATATTGGGTTTGAATAGTCATTGGGCTTCATGAATTGACCACTTAAGCTAGCCCAACAAAAACAAATATCCCATATTTTGTGTTGAGAATTTGTAGGCCACTTAAGTTAGAAAATAAAATTTCTAACAGTATATTCTTTTGCTGGAAGGGTAAACTTGCGAGCTTAATGGGAACAAAAACTGTATAAAGGAAATTGATCAGGAGCCGTGAAAGTCACAAGCTGTGAAACCAAACCACTAGCAAAGGCGAACAAAGAAAATAAATGATTTCCAAGCGACAAGTCATACGGCTGCAAAATAAAAATTCTAGCTAGAGGAAACATCCACCACGTGAGGATGGAATAGCATAGGGGCGGACCCAGGGGAGTTTGGGCCTTGGGGGTGTCCTAGGACATCCCTAAATTTTGAGAGAACGATTATTCAACCCCCGGTGGTAATTTACGTATGGACAAAAAATTATATTTGATAGTGGAGGACACTCCTGAAATTTGAAAATGATTTTCCTACTCTCATTTTTTAGTTTGCATATGGGAATATAAGTGGTAATTTGGGTAATTCAAACCTAGGATACTATTATTAATAAACATAATTTTCATTAGACTACAACTCTATTTCAAACTATCCTTAATTTGTATTGATTTTATGGTTTTACAACAAGTGTTGAAAGAGTCGTTTCACTTTTGGGTTACATCAAGAACCAGTTTAGAAATCGAATATGCGATCAGTTCGTGAGCAATTGTCTAGTAGGATATAAATAAACAACTTTTTTGAGCAGTGTAGACACCAAGTATATTCTACAGTGTGGACTTTTTTTATAACTTTTACGAGTTCGGTATTTTCTTATTTAAGAATTATTTAATTTTTCTTATTTAATTTTATTAATTAATTTTATTTTTTAAAAGAGGACACCCCTGCGTAAAATTTCTGGGTCCGCCATTGAAATAGCAACCCTCCTTAAACAGGCACTTCAAAGTTTGCTCTAGAATGATCTTTGTATGTAATTGCAATATGATTTTATTGGTAGTAAAGAGCATCACATAAACACTTAGGGTTCGTTTGGAAGTTGCGATTGTTAAATAGATGTATTGTTGAGAATGCATGTATAATATTATACATGTATTGTCGAATTTGATGCATTGTAGAATACAACATTTGGTATGTGTGATTGTGTATGTCGCATAAGCTAAAAGCTGAGACAAAACAATCTCAACTCAACTATCTCAACAATCACAACTAAAAGTTGAGATATAACAATCACTCAAAATGAGTGATAGTTTCTGTCATATCATAGAAACAATCCATGTATTGTTTCTGCTAAAAAAACAAAAAAACGATGCATTGTAAACAATACATGCATAATGACAATCTCAACAAAACAATCGCAACTTCCAAACGACACCTTAGTTGTACCAAAAAGAAAATCCAACCCAGCCATTCTCATCTACAGGTCTACTTGCGACTATTGTTTCATAATTAATGACTCATGAGTGTGAATGAGACCATCCAAAGACCAACTTTCCCTCTCGTCCTTTTTCTTAGCAGTTCGCACCAAAAACCCCCCCAAGAAGATTCAAACCGAAGACTTAAATTCCAGTCAACTTCCACACCCCATAAGCAACGCCAATACGCCATTGGCGGGCAGACATTTCCCAAGGTTTCCTTAGCTCCATCCTTAGCCCTCAAGGCAGGCTTCATGGCTTGATCATGGGCAATACCTGCACCACCTGCCAGTACCTGGGCGGGAAGCTGAATTGTCGTCGCGCCAAGAGGGATGCTGACGCCGCTGCCGAAACTGCCGACCTCTTCTTCGGCCTCCGTACGCTTCAAGTTGCCACCAATTTGTTCTCCGACTTGAACCAGCTCGGTCATGGCGGCTTCGGTCCCGTCTACAAGGTGGGTTACCGACTCTCGACTATATTATCAGTGAATAGTTGTTCACGGCGTCGCCTTCATCGTTGAATTGAAGGCATGTCGGAGTTAGTTACTTAGTTCAACTTAGGGAATTGAGGGTTTGGATTTGTTGATTTTGGGCGTCCATGGAATCGGCCTCCATTTCAGGCCTATCTTTGAGACTTTTTTTAAGGTGTTGTGAATTGGAATGGTGTGTTTATTTGCCTCTTTTGTATTCAAATTATCTACAAGAGGTATTCCATTCATGTAGAGCTGTTGTCAGGGGTTGATTCCGAATGGCCAAGAAATCGCAGTGAAGAAGCTCTCCTCAACTTCAAGACAAGGAGTGAGGGAGTTCACTAATGAGGTGAAGTTGTTGTTGAGGATCCAACACAGGAATCTAGTTACATTGTTGGGTTGCTGTGTAGAAGGCCCTGAGAAGATGCTTGTTTATGAGTATCTGCCAAACAAAAGCCTCGATTACTTCCTCTTTGGTAAACAAGCTCCTACTTCCATTGCAAAGATCTGTCTTTTATGTTGGGGGAAAAGGAGAAATAGCAACTGGTGATTCTCTTGCCCGTGAAATTTTGTAGATAAAAAGAAGGCTTCTTCACTGGATTGGACAACTAGATTCCATATAATTACAGGGGTGGCGAGGGGACTTCTTTATCTACACGAAGAAGCCCCCTTGAGAATCCTCCACAGAGATATCAAAGCCAGTAATATATTGTTGGATGAAAAACTGAGACCAAAGATATCGGATTTCGGCCTTGCCAGGCTGTTTCCAGAGGAAGACACACATGTGAACACATTTAGGATATCTGGTACTCAGTGAGTGTTTCTTTCAGTTCTCTATGATTAATAGTTCTTTTATCTATTTCACTTGAACATTTGGATCCTGCAGCTTTGCATTCGCTATCTTAAGCAACTGACAATAAACATGATGCTGGTTGCAGTGGTTACATGGCCCCAGAGTATGCAATGCATGGATATCTTTCTGTCAAGACAGATGTCTTCAGTTATGGTATTCTAGTCTTAGAAATCGTAAGTGGGAGGAAGAATCTTGATCCCAGGCTCGGCCCGGACCATGCTGATCTCTTGAATTCTGTAAGTTGATTTAGAGTTCGGTATTGACTGTTTTGCAAGATTTACATGTATAGAAATGTATAGTTCGAGTTTTGAGTTTGCGTATTGGGTGTAGACTCTAGCTTATATGAATCGGAGAATCAGTATCTTGTGTATCCAGATTAGGAACATACAGGAATCAGATGCTTTAATAATTATGCCTATTGTGGTCAGGAATGGCCTATTCATACTAGTTTTTGGAGTCATGCTCTTCCTCCATGAGTGCTTAAACTTGCTATCACCCAACCTGATTCTGCAGATCATTAACCTAACCCATCTGCTATCTTTTGCTTGGGGTGTAAACTTAAAACACAGGCATGGAAACTCTACCAAGCAGGAAAGACATTGGAGCTACTTGACCCTAGCCTTGGCGACCATTATAACACAGATGAAGTGGGGATGTGCATTATAATAGGGTTGCTATGCTGTCAACAAATTGTTGTCGACAGGCCTGACATGAACTCAGTTCATCTCATGCTTTCGAGCGACTCGTTTACTTTACCAACACCAGGCAAACCTGGCCTGCAAGGCCGAACAGGAAGATGGACATCTACCAATGGCACCACTTCTGCTTTGACCAACACTAACCCTACTAGCACTACGGAATCCGGTGGTAGCAGAGGCTCTGGAGGGAACAGCATTAACGTTGTTGAGGATTATTCCCGAAACTCCATCTCTGTCTCCTCCATTGATGAAGGTAGATAAATTAGGGGTCAAAGTGTAGATGTTTATGTAAAGAATCAATTGTTCTTGGTTTGTGTTAATAAGCCTGTTTCCATTATCATTCTGTAGTTGCTAGTTCAGCAGTCTAGTCTCTAGTGAGTTGTACAAGTTACCTGTTGTGGACTTCATCGGATGCTTTTGCCAACATCTACAGTTTCAGTAAAAAAATCTTTATTTTTTAGTGGTTTATCTTTTCATGAATGTCCTTTTTTTCCTGTCAGTTCAGCTCGTTATTTTTATGCATCGTTAGGTAATTATATTTTTGGTTAATATGGGCTCAAATGATATTCGAATAATCAATTTTATTCTGTGATTTTAGAAATTGCTATTTTGCTCTCAACTATACATCATATAGACTCAATTGGTCGGACATGCGTTTTGACCGTTAATTTGGACAGTCAAAATCGTTGACTAACGTTCCAGCTCACTGCCATGTGAGCACCAAATTAATAAAAAAATTCAAATCATTTTCTAATTTTCTTTATCGAATAAAAAATAAATTCAATTTTTATATGGTTGTTATTTTATAATTAGAAAAATGAGACATGAAAAATAATTTTAAATTAGAATTTTTTATTTATTCGGTGCTGACATGGCAGTTAGCTGGATCGTTGACCATCCAAATTGATGGTCAAACTCAAAACACGGGTCCGGCCAATTGAATCTATATGATGTATAGTTGAGGGACGATAGCAATTTCTGAAACAACATGCCAAAATTGATTATTTGAATTTAGTTCGTGCTATAATAAGATTTTACCCCTTATTTTTTCTTGCTATTTGCCGCACGATATCTAAATTATGTCTCAGTGGTTAATGTTAGCATGGTATTTTGTTTCTACTTTGTTGTATAATTATTCTCGTTCCTTTTTAAAAAAAATTACCGTTATTTTCCTAAACATCATTATTTTTTATCATTTACATTTTAAAATATTTTATGGTGATGTTCATTGTATTTTCATGAAATGTATTGCAATATTTTTGGGTTGACAACATATCTCGCGCCTATTTGAAAATATCACAAATTACCACGATACAAAAAATAACATAAAGTATCATCATCAGTGGCGTTGCCAGACTTAGAATTGACTGGGGTCTTTAAAAATTTTAAACCGTTTTAGTCTGTGTATCTAATGAACTTTGAGTTGATTGGTATCCTCAGATGAGTTAACATCAATAAAAGTATGGTGTCCTAAATACAAAGGATCATACTAAATCCTACATATCTAAAGAGTTTTGTTGCCCCATATTTTCCCAAGTACTCTACATGTGGCTTCGCCCCTGATTACCATACATCAAATTTACGTAAACTTATTGCATTTCAATTTTAATCTTGAGTAGTCGAAACGTTTCATGGCTGGTGTTTACCTTTCTGCTAGAGCCATAGGTTTAGGGATGACAACAAAATCCGAACCCATGGGTACCCTACCCGACCCAACCCGGTCAACGCGAGTAAAATTCATGTTGACGGATTTTGGGCAGGGTTCGGGTTTAAACCCGCTACACCGTTCACGGATTGGGTTGGGTTTGGGTTTAGGTATACCCGCCCCATGGGTACCAGCCCACACCCATATAATTAATTTTTTCTGGTATATTAAATATTCTAAACAATATATCTTCCTCAAACAACTAATTTTCTTTATGTTTGTGGAGACATGTCTAATTTGTTCTTTCTAATTGTGTAAAATGAAGTTGATATTATGGAGTGGAAAGTGAAAAAGCTTAGTTGACAAGGAGGAATGAGCTTTCAATTAATCATGTTGTTTTATAGATGTTTATTTTAATTTTGAATAATTTGTATTGGTAATTTGCAGTTTGCTTGTATGTTCTAGATTTGTGTTTTTTGTATGGATAATTAGTACGAAAAAATTTATGTTAGACTTTTATTTAGAAAAAAACTTTTTATTGTAAATTTTTTACACAAAAATCCACGGGTACCCATGAACAGTGGCGGATACATGCATGTTTAGGGATATCCAGCGACACCCTAAAATTTAAAAACACGATTATTCAACCTCCGATAGTAGTTTGCGTATGAGAAAAAAAAATGTTTAAACGGGAGTGTGACACCCTTAAAATTTGGGAAAAAGATTATCCAACGTTCCGTAGTAGTTTGCGTATTGGTACAAATAATGTTTAAATAGTAGTGTATGTGATCTAAACTTGGGAGTTGGGACACTACCACTAGTAAACATATTTTCAATTACACTACAACTCATTTGTTATTGAGTCAAATATAATACTAAAATATTATTCTTATCCCAAATTAATTTCAAAACCTAACGATTAAACCTAATTACAGGATGCCATTGTCTAGTAGAATATGTTGAGAGATATTTGTTGAACAGTATAGAAACCGAATGTATTTTACTATTTTACGAAATAAGTCTGAACTGTTAATGTTACTTTTATTATTAAGATATTTTCATATTTAATAATTATTTTATTAAATTAAAGTAAATTTTATAGAGAGGACACCCAAATGTAAAATTTCTGGATCCGCCACTGCCCATGAACCTGCGGATGCCCAGCGGGTTAGGTTGGGTTTGAGTTTTTCAAACCCAACGGGTTTTACCCCGGGTCTTATAAAACCCCTGCACTGAAAGCTTTCTCTCTTCCTGATCAGCGGATTCAGAATGGCCCCCTTATCGTTGGATGACTGATTCTTATGGTGAACTCCTATCGCGATGAATTAAACATGCCCTAATGCTTGTCAATCACATCGGAAAGTTGTTGGGTCGCCGGAGCTCTACTACTGGAAATTCAGCTTAAACAACTCTTGCTCTAGCCGCTGATATGGGCAAATAAAGTAGCATCTGTAAATGAAATAGTAGCCTGTTGGCGAATAAACCCATGGATTTGAGTTTGAATTTGGCAAATAATTCCTTCCTTCTTTCACTCGTATTCTTCCTCTCGTTTCGTTTCCAACTTCAAAAAAAGTCAAAATCTTTCCTTTTCTGCACCAAAGTCAAAATCCCTAATCGGCCTCGGTGAATCGACGAATGACGATCTCGACTCGACGGACTACAAACAGACAGAGAGCAGAGAAGAACACGGGTTGCGACGATGACGTTCTCGAATCGGAAGGCCAGAGAGAAGATGAAGGACGAAGTCGACCTTCTCGTTCTCGGGCTTGGCTGGGAAAGAAGAACGACGAACAGCATGGCCTTCTCGTTCTAAAGCTCGGCCGGGAAATACAAACGAAGGCAACCTTCTCTTCTCTGATCGGATCGCCAGCTGCAGGGGGAAACGAAGAGCGGCGCGAGAATGAAGAGTGGAGAGTGCCTCGCGATGCGCCTTTGCCCAACCCAAAAAGAATTTCTTCTTTGTATGAAACGACAAACTTTTACCTGGGTTTGAAGGACTGCCGGTTGGATCAAAACCGTCCGGCATTTCGCGGTACGCCGGTTCAACTATGAATGCCGGCCGATACGATAATTTCGCTACAAAATCTGTAACGTATCGGATCTGGTCAGATATCCGGTTTTACCGGTTCAACCAGCCGGTACGATACGGTTTCCTGGTCCATGGTCTCAAGCGACTCGGCCCCGGTTCACTTTCGTTTATTTTGCCGTTTTACGAAATTTGGAGGTCGTTTCGCGCTTTACTGTTTTCGTTTAGGGCAGAGCTTTCGCGCCAGAGCTCAGAGCGTTTCAAGGCCCCGACGACAGTTTCTCCACCTCCAACTTGCCAATCGCCGGCGGATCCCCCTCGCCCACGCCAAATCTAACCGAATCCAAAATTCATCGTCAAGCTCCTCCGCCACTGCCGACCTTTACACGGGGACGAGATTCCGGAACTTCTCCACGATCGTCTGTCTACGGAAGGAGATTCTGACCTCTCTCTCGACGGCCGTCGGTGTAACAATGACAACCAAATGGCAGCTCCGATTGTCATTCCCGAGTACCGCGTCTCCGTCTGTCTGTCTGTCCTCGTTCTTCCTTTAACTCCATTTTCCTTCTTCGCTGCACTTGTACTTCTACACAATCAACACAGTTAATGGAGATCAATCTCCGTGCCTCTGACCAGTCCTCCCCCTTTTCTGTGTGTTTCGTGAGCTACGGGGAACAATACCGAGACCATTCAAGCACGTTAGAGTCCTCGTTCACGAAGCAAGCCAATGTCGTTCGTTCCTTATAAGCTAACATGCGGCCAGGTAATCAATCCCACCTTGTCTCTATAAACTTTGTATGATCCAATTATAGGTGAAGTACTGCTGCGATTGGGTTTTCCGATCACCAAGTAGCTGGCTAGATCACGATTCAACAGTCCGATCTGTGCATTTGTGGCTAATCAGTAATTTGTATTCTGATTTGTTCTTACTCGCTGCAATTTGTTTGTTGATTGGGCTCTTCTAGGTTCTTTTTTCGATCAGTGCTCATCCTTGTGGGGGCATGGTTGGTGGTACTGATTCGAGTCCTCTTGCTTCAGAACTGCAGCTGGGTGTTTAATTGTTGCTCTTCTCATTGTAATCTGGTGGCTAAAAAATGTAAGTGGGTTATGAACATTCACCATTGTTCCTCACTAGCAGTCGATATTTGTACCAAGTTGATTCGACTCACAAGTGTTTGAAATTATGCATTAGTGATCTTGATTCAATGGTATCCATTTCTGAGTGTTGAGTTTTGGCTGCTTCACTCTGTATGTCTTTAGGATCTTTCCAAGTCAAGTGGATGCTTATATTGAAGTCTTTAATCTGTCATTTACACCTCGAGGGCTCCCTATTGGTACGTTGTTTTATATTGGAGGACCTCAATAGATCACTTCCACAGACTATTACCATATTGGAAAAAAGCTGCAATTTGGAAACAATGTAGGTAGTCTGAAAAGATCAGAATGTGTTGAGCCTCATCGGGATAAGCGTGTTCCTGATGGTGATATGGAAGCTGCAACATACAACTAAACATCGTATTACGTATACTTTGCTTTATAATTCTTTCAGTAGTAAGAAAAAATTGCTCCTCTTACAACATAACTTCAATACGAAGTTGGACAAACCAGCTTGTTTTCTGCATATGGTAAGGAGAAGAAATGTTCTGGATTTACCTAAGGGTTGAATAGGTGTGGAGTTGCACCTATTTGGTTCTTGACACGAGGTGCCAAGGTTGTTTCGATATCATAAGTTAGAGATTCTTTTATTTTAATAAAAGTTAGAGTCTCTCGTGATATTGGTAACTATCTCTGGGACGT